CTCCCATCTCAGTCTCTTCGTACGCAAACTTGCAAGCATTTCTCTCTTCAAATGACCACCGTCGGATCTTGGAATTCGCCGTCCTCTGCGTAGCGTTCTTCCGCACAGCTTGTCCTCCGCCATGGCCATCCGAGGCGTCGATTTCAAGTGGTAACTCATCTGTCTTTCTTTCCTTCTTTGTTTCCACCCGCCTCTCGATTACTGCGTGTGGGTTTTAAGGATTTTGAAGTCGAATTTTCGATTGTTTTGCACCTGCAGGTACGATGGGTTCTTCTTGTCGATGCTCGCGACGAGTGTGTATCCTTTAATTTTATCTAAATTTGGGTTTCTAATTTCGTATTGGAATCCCAATTTTCCCAATTGTTCGTTTTCTTTAACGGTTTGGATAACAGAGTGATTGTTGCAATGAATTGGAAGCGGTACCATACTTGTACATTCCCGTTGCACATATGGATTGTGGTAGGTATATATATATTATCTGAATTCCCAGAAATTCCCAGCAATTTTGATATGGGATTGTTTAGATATGTGTTTGGCTTTAATGTCAGGTTGATTACACTACTGTGTTTGTTTTTCGGATGCTGATGTTTGTGGATAATGGGCTTGCCTCTGGAATGGGTTTGTAAGTCCATATCTTTAGTTAATGTTTCCTTTGTACTTTTTTCGATTTGTGTAGTTTGAATGGTTCTAAAACCGTGGGGAAGTTTGTAAGTCCATACCCTTAGTTAATGTTTCCCTGGTACTTTGTTCGATTTGTGTAGTTTGAATGGTTCTAAAACCGTGTTCTTCCCCTTCGAATTGTTATGGTATTAGGGATCTTGGGTGGCAGCAAAGATATGCTCGTTTCTGCGGAAGAGTAGTGGTCCTTTCGATTCTTTCTCTGTTGCTCTATCCATTTCTTTGGACTTGGACAGTGATTGGTACGCTGTGGTTTCAAAAATCGAAGGACTGTGTAAGTTATATATCTTAGTTCTTGGCAGAATAGTGGTGTTTAAAGTTTAAACAATAGTGGCGGTGCTAATGCATTTTAATGCTTGCAGTTGCCTGAAAATGGTCACAAATGGGGTTTTCTCATTTGGTTGCTTTTTAGCTACTGTGCACTACTTTGCGTTTCTTGCATGTCGCTTGGGAAGGTTAGTGGTGCTTTGTGTCCTTGTCCATTTTTTAGACTCAACCAGGACTTTATTCTATGTGAGCTCATTTGAACATCGTATTCAGACATTCTATTTAACATATATATATATATGGTGCTTTGGGTCCCTATCTGTGATGTTCTAATCCTCGTTTTGGAACCCCTCTATTTCAGTGGTTGACACGAAGAGAGGCACACTTATTGCGTGCTCAACAAGGGATTCCTGTGTCAGAATATGGGGTAAATCCTGAGACGTTCTTTTTCCCCTTCATGGAAATGTCTCTTATTGTAATATTTATGAATGTATGCCCTTAGTGTTTTGTTCCTCAATTTAGCTTATGCCAGTATTGCTATTGTACCAGATAGACAATATATGATAATGCTGTTTTGACTATGTAACACTCCCACTTGCTGTTGATTGCACATTAGCGTTCAAAGCTCTTTTATTCTGTGTTGATCCACTTCTTCCTATCATTCCTAGTAATGATTTCTCCTCATTGTTAAGGTTTTGGTTGATATGATTCGGGTGCCAGATTGGGCATTTGAAGCTGCCGGTCAAGAAACAAGAGGGATGGGCCAAGATACTGCTGCATACCAACCTGGACTTTACTTGACTCAAGCACAGGTAACCCCCACCCCAAAATTTTCCTGCTGAGGAAATTGCTTACTTGCCCTTAGATTCACAGCTTTGTTCAGTTTTGTCTAATTGTTATCTTCACTCTTTTTACAACATATTATGTGTACTATAAAAAAATTATATGCGGCTGTTTTGTTGAATTCATGATAGTAGTTACTCAAGCTATTTAAGCAGTAGCATTTTGGATGAATTCTATGCTTAAAGCATTGGCAAAAGCAATGTCTAGAAAATAGAGATTAGGGATTCTAGTGGGTGTTGCTGACATGTATGCCTGTGTGTATATATACTCGTTACTCTGTCTCAAAACGTTCAAGCACACTTGGACTTTAGAGGCCTAGTATAAAAGTGTTTATTAATTGTTGTGCTTTACTGGTGATAAGGGGACATACTAAAAAGGAAAATTAACCTCTTCAATGACAGTCCTTTTTTTCCATTGTGAATTATTCGTTGTCTATGTCAATTCACTATTGATACTTTAATTCTGAGTTCTGATGGTTGACGTTGTTATCTTGGTGTTGCAGAGAGAAGCAGTGGAAGCACTCATTCAGGAGCTTCCAAAGTTCAGACTGAAGGCTGTTCCAACTGATTGCAGTGAATGTCCAATCTGCTTGGAAGAGTTTCATGTAGGCAACGAGGTAAATTTTTTATGAATATCTATCCTACTTTAAACACCGCATTGATCTGAATTATTCCATGCTTCTCGGGTAAAAGTCAAATCTTTGTTTATATAAGAATTGGATCAATGGACCCCTTTTGTGGCTCCCTGTAAAATGTAGAGAGAATTTTAAGAAAATAGGAACCAAGTGCATAGCTTATCGTTTAAGCAATGCAGACGACCTCTCCCCATTCTATGAACAGATTGCCGGACATATTTTACCTTCTGATAATGGCTCAGTTATTACAAAGTTCAACAACAGATTCTTACAGGAAGTTCTGCAGGTTCGCGGCCTGCCTTGCGCTCACAATTTTCATGTAGAATGCATCGATGAGTGGCTTCGACTGAATGTGAAATGTCCCAGATGCCGTTGCTCAGTCTTCCCAAATCTCGACCTTAGTGCTATATCCAATCTCCGTCCTGACTCTGAGCGTTCATCTCTCAGTGTGTTGACAGCCAACCGGTACGTGAGAACCCGACCTGACAGTCAGAGGCATTTGTTGAGGTTGCAGGGAGCATTCCGCCCAGTTCGTACTGAAAATGCAGGTGCGGGCATTGAGGCAGACACGTCTTTCGAAACTTCTGAGGAAGGGGGTATTGCTCTCTCATCTACTCGGGATCTTTCGAGCCCAAGGCCGGTCCCTTCCATTGAACGTATTTTCGTTGTCGAGTTCCCCTCACAGCAACAACAATAGGGGATCCTTCCTGGTTTACATTTTCTAAATTTTAACTGAATTTTCTAACCCATATGCTGAGGGAAGGCGTTAACGGTATAGATCTGTGTACCTCGCCATCGGTCGGCATGCTTTTGCAATCGCTGTTGCTTTCTGAAAGTCTAAAGCTTTTTGCCATGGTTTCTCATTGTAATGATGGATGTACATATTCATGGATATGAGAACTGGATATGATCGGTTAACCAATGCAGCTACCTCTGTTTCATGAAATTTTCCTCTTCTTGAGGGCTTGCATGAAATGGCGACCCCAAGTTGCCGGTGTACAAAACCAGTCTATACTATTCTATATAAGAACGGCGAAGCCTGATAGGTTCAAGCCACTGCCGCTTTTAGCATTTTCCGTTTCATGCAAGTCTTTTCTTTCTCTTCTCATTCGAAAGATTAATTTATTTGAAGGGGAATTGGATCCTCGTTGGATCCCTTGCCTAGGGATCTTAGGGATCAACGCATACGGATCGTTGATAAAAAATTATGCGATCGCAATTTTTTTTCTTTTTATATTTTTCACATAAAATGAAATTATTTTACTTTAAAAAATATAAAAAACATTTAATTTGGACCGTACAATTTTTTATTAACGGTTCGTGTCCATTGATCCCTATAACCTCCAGAAAGGAGATTCGAGAAGAATTCAAATCCATTTGAAGATCCGACGAGAATTCAAATCCATTTGAAGGGGGTCCTTGGCCCTCGTGGAGATTACAAGCCAAGTGGCAGTACACGTGGCGTATTTTTGCAGCCGTCTTATCGAACGTGTGTAAACCTAACTTTTGTGATAATTTATTAATTTGTAGTCCACTCAACCGATTTTGACAAACAATTACCGCTGTATGTCTCGGGAGAGGGATCTCTCCGGATCATTTCCTTCTAATTTATTAAATCAGTGGATTCGTATCATTGAAATTTGATCTAACGGTTACAAATAAGAGTCCATTTTAAAAGTTATAATAACATCAGCCGTTGAATCAAATTTCAATTATATGAATTCATTGATTTGGTGGATTAGGAGAAAGTGATCCATATGGATCTCTTTCCCATGTCTTGTTGGCACATCTAACACGCGGCAACCAGCAGAGAGAAGTGGGGTGGGTCAAAAGATTGATTCTTGGGTAGAAAGAGAGAGGATCCTCGTCAGATCTTTTTTGTGAGGATTATGATGATTCTTCAATCATATCTGTTCATTATACATTGTGTGAACAATTTTTATTAAGTACTATTTATATTCAATTTTAAATAAAAAAATTTACTGTAATTTTTTGCCACACAATTTACGATAAACGGATGTAATGTGTGGATCATCGAGATCCTCACAAAGAGGATTCGGCGAGGATCCTCCCTCGGGTTGAAAGATGCACATTTTTATCATATTGAAACATGTTTTCAACTCATCTAATGACAAGCTTACAAAAGACTAAACAAATCTATCCAAAATTTAACCCGTTGCTCAACATCCTATTTATTATAGTAGGATAAGTTAAAATTCTAGGATTTATCTTTATCCACTGAATAGATATCAAAAATTACGCTCAATTAACAATAATAAATAAGGAGAACAAAATCCCCATTACTTGATGGCGATGAACAAAAACATTCCCTTCCGTATGCAAAAAGAGAGGTAATGCTAGGTACTAAATTTATAAGCAAATCTTATAAATTAAATGAAATGAAAATTGATAGCTAAATTATTAGTTAAGTATCAATTAACGTACTTATTTCATATAAATAATATATTATTTTATAAATTTGATTTAAAATTTTGATAAGAAAACCACAAGTCTGTGGGCCTGAGTTGCCTGTAATTGCAAAAACATTTAAGGCGGCGATTCTATGATATCTATCCATATATCTCTTGCAGTCTTCATCTTCGTCACGAACTACGACAACACCAAAAACTCGGACGATAATTCATTTCTCTAATTCCCCACAAAATAAAACACAGATAATTGTGGGGAAGAGAGAAAACCAGAGAGAGATAGCGAGAGAGATGGAGGTGGCCAATGGGTGGGGCGTGGGACAAGCAATCCCCCTGCCTCAATTCGGACCCAATTGCTGCTCCGGCTTCTTACCCAACACCAAGTCCAAATTCAACACTTCCAATAAAAATCTGAGCGTTGTTCTCAGTTGGGGCTGCTCTGTCCAGACCAAGCTCTCACCTTCTTCGTCTTCGAGTAGTAGCAGGAGTCGAAAGAGCTCGAATTTGTGCTGCCGGTGCAGTGAGAGCAACAGATACAGTGAGGACTGTGTTGGGTCGTCTTGGGAATGGGATTGGAATCGGTGGAGCCGCCATTTCTCCGAGGTCGAACAGGCCGAGAGCTTCGTCTCTGTTCTCAAGGTATGTGGGTTTTGTGTACTTTTTTGCTCAGTTGCTAATTGCATCGAAGTTTCAGTTTTTGTCAGTAGTATTGTTTGGGCAGAAATGCTAGTTCTCTAGAAGAATTATGCTCATAAGAGCTTTTACTAGAAGTACTTTGATCAGAATCAAGTTATGTCAAACGTAGTAAGAAGCGCTTTTGGTTTTGGATAATTGTTTCTTATTTTATTTGGAATTCTGTTACTTTTCAATGTACAGTTCCCAGTTGCTGAATATTATTTATGTTTACTACTCCATTAGTTGAACTGCAAAGTTCATAAATCCAAAAGTAAGCTGAATTTATTTGAAATTCGTAGCTTTTGATGATTATTTATCATTGATCATGCTCATCAGTTTCTCTCTTCCTTGAGCTTTATAGTTATTTAAATCTGTCTGCCTTTTGCTACCATTTCTCAGGGTTTTATAGGACATAATTCACCCTTTTGGACCTTGTTTCAAGACAGTTGCAAAACGTTAAAACAAATTTTGGAACTTGGTTCTTGAGAAATTTAAGATTTACTTTGCATCGTTTGAATTACATGAGAAATTCGGGAAGACTTGGAGAGTCTGTTCCCCTGTTCTCGGTATATTAGCAAGTTTCACGGAATTCTTTTAAGTTTCTAAATTGTCAAATGGCAGTCAGTGATGGTACAAAATTTGCTTCATCTGCCATTTGTTACTTTCAGTTGAACCATGTACCTGTGCAAATATTGTAATTTTTTCTGGAGTCTCGGTTGCTTGGGTCTGTTCACTGTGGATACAATCATGTACCAGTACAAAGAATCATACACAACTGAACATAACCACACGTATACAAATTAAAAGCGTTTTATTTTTTAATGTTTTATGACATGATGCTATAAGCAGTTTCAACTTGAAGATGCAATTGAGAAGGAAGATTTCCAGGAAGCTGCAAAACTGAAAATGTCTATTTCAGAAGCTACATCAAACGACACTGTTGTTGAGATCATGTCTCAATTGAAGGTTAGTTGAGCATTTATGCTTTTGTAATTGTGTACTTGCTCACATCAATGTCTGTTTGTTTACCTGGTCTGTTGTATGTTTGCAGAATGCGATTGAGGAAGAGCGTTACCGTGATGCTTCAAGGTTGTGTAGACACACAGGAAGCGGACTGGTAATCTTCCCACGTGTTGCTGGCTTATATATTATCTTCCAATTTCTAACAACATGGCTTCGCAACTCAATTTTATTTGTTGGCTGAAATAGCCAGCTTTTACTCTTTTTTTCTTTTCACGCTTAGTTGAAATACTGAAAGTAGATTTCATTGGAAGAAATTAGATATATCAGGTCATCCTTTGTACATGAATTTTATTGCCAGTCATGGAAGTTTTTGTGGGACTCCAAAGTGTCGACGGGACAAAATTATTACATTTATGATTTATCATATAATACACCTTTGTTGGAGGCAGCTTCTACCATCACCTACATGCTGCTGACTTCCAGTTTTATCCTACGCATGATAAAGCCTTTTTCTTTTCTTTTCTTTTTTCTCCAAAAAAGATGAGTTTACCTATGGCTCTTGAAACGATATGTGCCTAGTTTGTTTTTTCCTGGCATCTTTAAGATATTTATGTGAATTTTATTGATAGGCCTTATTAATTAGGCCTGCTTTGTGGTAAATTTTCGCTGTGTCCTTTAAATGGTTCTCTCTGTATCTGCAGGTAGGTTGGTGGGTTGGGTACCCAAAAGATTTAGATGATCCTTTTGGAAGGCTAATACGAATAACTCCTGGTGTGGGCAGATTTATTGGGAGGAGTTACAGTCCAAGGTAAGATCTTTTGGGTTTTGATTTATTTTTCATCTACTGGAGAAAACTATTGATTTGTTATTTGTTGCAGACAGTTGGTTGAAGCATCACCGGGAAGTCCCCTATTTGAAATTTTTGTGGTAAAAAATGCTGATGGGACATACATTATGCAGGTAAATACAGATCTTTCAAACAAACTATCTTTCACCTGTCTAATGCAGTTTGTCCTGCCTCTCTGGTCTTCTGATATCATATCTGTTGCAGGTAGTGTACTTACACCAACCCAAAGGCAGTTCAACAAACTCCGCTGTTGCACCTTCCAAACCTGAAAAAGGCTCATCCACTTCCGAACTTGAGAGTGCAACCATAGTAGATGTACAGAAAAATGAAGGCAAGGCAGAGAGCAGCGAGTTCAAGGGCATTAATATTGAGGGAGCAGCTGAGGAGGGGATAAAAGGTGTGTTAAATTTTCTTAAGACAAAAATTCCAGGACTGAAAGTTAAAGTCATGGATGTTGATATTGCTAAGGAAGTGAAAGAGGATGACAATTCTGTGAACCAATTGATGCAAGAAAATAGTGACTCGTCAGATTCTGATGAGAATTCTGAAGACGAAGTGAATAATTTGGATGAAATTCAGTCTGACGAGGTCACTCTAGGAGAAGGTATTGATACCATAGAAGATGAAAAGGATTTGGATATGAAACTTTTTATTGGTGGGGTTGTACATAATAATGAGGATGTTCCTACCAAGGATGAGTATGTGCGTTGGCCTGCTGAAATCAAAGATGGGGAGAAAGATTCTTTTGTGTTGCATATTCCAGGGAGAAGCCTAGATCACGACACGGGAGAAAGTAAGGCATCTAAGTTCAAGGTGGCAGCTCTAGCACCTAAAAGTGCCCCTGAGCTCATGCCTTCTGAGGTTGCCAAGGCATTTTTTAATTCTGACAAGCTTTCTTCAAAGGTCAGTTGAACTTCTACGCCATCAGGAAAATATGATATGGAGATTGCACATACTAAAAAACCTACTCTTCCAGTTGGTAAAAAGTGACTGGGTTCATGAACAGAATCATTTGAGTTGGATACTTTTGTTGTACATGGTAGACTCATGGCAAACAAGGGTTTAGAATTTGGATTTTCCGAAGACTACCCTTGCTTTATGTCTTCCTTTTCCCGTTTTCTATCATTTTTGGATTTAGTATTTCTAGGAAGTTTGCGTCATGTCCATAGTTTGTCTCAGCTATAAATTTTGAGGGCAAAATGAAAGTTTCGGGTTTGTTTTTAAATTCACATAACTGGTGGAAGGTTTTGCAGTTTTAGATCTATATTTTAGAAGAGACTGATACTAGATAGTTAACATTAAAAAATTTCCCTAAATTCTCATTTCTTCTGGGGCACAATATTAAGTTTTTGTTGACAGTGGTGTGAATCACTCATAGTGCGTAACTTTCCTTTAAATTATAAACAGATGACACGGAATATGCGTGAAGTAGTCAAGTTTGCCGTTAATCAAGCTCAGAAGTGGAATAGATTATCTGAGTATACAAAGTTTAGTCGCCTCAACACCTTTAGAGGAGATTTGGATCCATTTGAAGGTCAGTTTTCTTATCCTCCACATTTTACTTTTTTTACTTAAAAGGACAATCTTCTGAGGAGTTCTTCTGCTTGAAGTACAGGCCTGTATGTTGGTGCATTTGGCCCTTACGGCAAGGAGGTAGTGCAACTCAGGCGTAAGTACGGGCACTGGAATAGCTCAGAAGGCAAAGAATCTGTAGATATGGAGTTCTTCGAATATGTTGAGGCAGTTAAACTAACTGGGGACCTGAATGTTCCTGCTGGCCAGGTTAGCTTTCTAAATTTTGTGATACCATGCCACTTGCTCTGTGACACCACATGTTCACTGTATGTAACATGTCTTGTACTAAACTCTCTGATTTTTTTCATATCCAGGTGACATTTCGTGCTAAAATTGGGAAAGGGAACCGCCAATCTAACCGTGGATTGTATCCAGATGAATTAGGAGTGGTAATGATACTTTGCACTGTGTCTGCATATGTGCATGTGTTTGGTGTGTGTGATATTTTTCTTTTATACAGTTCTAAGACCAAAAACTCAAGGAAGTTTGTTTTTCTCAGTACCATGGTAACTAGTAGATCAAGTTGTGCCTAAAAGTTTTAGAAAACCCTGTCTGCTCTTTTCTGCATAGAACAGCTAGAAAATTTTTGCTTTTGTTAGTTGAAAATCTCCTCTGGCGTGTACAATTGTTGATACCATTTCTCTTATTAGGGGCATTTCTAAAGTACCATATACATACTATAGGATCATGAGCCCTGTGCTGGTGCCTCATGTTTCGTGAAGTAACACGTTGATTTCTCCTGATACCATTTCAAACCACACAAGGAACTGTGTGAAGAAAAAGTTCCATATACCCTATTTTGGCATTATAATAAATTACGGATTGAACTAAAGAACATCTTTTAGGCTGCAACAAAATGAAACTCTGGATGGATGTATGCTGCCGACTAAGTGTTCATTTATCCAGGTTGCAAGTTACAAAGGACAAGGAAGAATAGCAGAATTTGGGTTCCGGAATCCACAGTGGGTTGAAGGAGAACTTCTCCAACTCAGTAACAAGGTGAATAAACCAGTTCAGTATGCCTACTAGCTTTTCTTCCTTATACATTCGGATTAACCAAAACTCTCAAAGAACCGGCCTCGTATTTCTTTTCTCTCATTTCCCTTCTTTTGCTTGATGTTTGTAACTTGGTGTGCAGGGCATTGGACCATATGTCAAAAGTGCAGATCTTGGTTTTCTTTACATCGTCCCAGAGCAAAGTTTCCTTGTACTGTTCAACCGCCTGAAACTACCAGACTGAACCAATGATTCCCAATCTGTTCGAGTTTTTACCACTTCGATTTGGCAAGCAAATATGTAAGAGAAGAGTTCTTTTAAGTGTATCGTATCTGAGCAAATATATATAGACGGTTGATTCCCAATCTGTTCGAGTTTTACCCCGTTGTAACTCCATGAGCTGTATATCATTTTTGCTGAACCGAATATATATAAGACTGGTACCGAAACTACAACGAGGCTCCGAATCATGAGCATTTCCGGACACTGCTCGGCTTCCTCTGCATCGACTGTTAATATGTTCTTCTCTACAGACGGTTTGTTATCATGACTAGTTGATGAACTAGTTAATGGAAACTCATCAATCATCAGAGTAGCAAATCTTAAGAAATCAGTATACCATGAAAAGTTGATTGCGAAATATCCTGTGGCTTGAAAACGAAGGTATTGGTACTTTCTTTTTTGTTAATTTAATCATCAAAATCATTGTGATTGATCGTTTTTCGTATACACTTTCTTCAAAATAGTGTTAAAGCGTAACTATCAATCGTGACCTTTCTTGATGATTTGATTGACAAGTTATTAACATAGGACGTTGGGCTGTCTGACAACAGGAGGATATTATCAAGAAGGCAGATTCTCTGCGCATTCACTTCCTGTGTCCTCCTGTTTGTATGGTCACGGTTAAACTAGGTTAACATTTTATATTACTATTTATTTTTGTCTTATTATCTCTATAAAAAAAATATAAAATGTTGACGTGGCTTAACCGTAACCACACAAAACAGGAGGACACGGGAAGTGGGAGGGCACAGAATCTGCCTCCTATTATCAACTATTTATCGTACAAGTGTGTTTTATTCTTGTGAATGGTATTCACAGGAGGAGGAGGAATGTATTTACACGAAGGAAGAGGGGAAAGTTGGGGAAGAAATTTATGCCTTTTAGCGCACTAGTAAATTAAAGAAAACTTTATATAAAGCTTTTCCACTTAAAAGCTTGTTTGTGTTGTAAAATCGACGGTGTGTGCAATGGAATAAATGAAATAAGACACAAAATTTACAAGGTTCCTCTACAATAAGTGTGATCGGAGTACGTCCTCGGGGCAGCAGTGGTGCTTTCATTATAATTTGGAATAATATGAGTACAAAGATAACTCTCTCTATTATCTCCTCTCTTTTCTCTCTTCCTCTCTTTTCTCTCTTCCTCTTCCTCTTCCTCTCTTTTTTCTCTTCCTCTTCCGTGAGTCTCTCTGTGATGATCTCTCTTTTGTGCATAAGGTGTCTTGTATTTATATAGGAAGTAAGAGCACTGAAAGTTGTTGTACAGCTCGCTTCCGCTGATAAGATTCCCATTTGTCCTCTTTGCTCTAAAGTGATTGGTACAGTCATCCATCATATTATTTAGTGGCCAGCCATCAATGTTTACAACAGCTTGGATTTTCTACGATTTTATTTGTTTTTCTTGCTTTTACCATACAAGGCTTCCTCTTGAGGCTCTTAAAGCTCTTGGCTTTTTCTTTTTCTTCTATCGCTCTTACCACGAAATGTTTAATGGATATCGTTATATTACTTACTAAATGTTTGAGCAGATAATAAACTGGTTTGGTAATACATTGGTATTTTTGTTAATATAAGTTAAGGGATCGAGACCCCGCTTAAATTTTATTATTTATATGCCACTTAGTCCTACGTTATGGTAATATTCCTTTTCACTGGTAAGTTAGAGGTTTTAGGTTCAATTATCGCCAAAGAGGAATTTGAACCACGTTATTGAGTCAATTGTGAGACTTAGCCCACTTCCACATAATGTAGATAATATCGTTTAAAAAAAAATTAAGGAATCCAAAATTTAGTTTAGAGAAACATGCATACCGTGTTGGTCAACTGACTTAATGTGATGATTAACTCAGTCATGTGGTAACTTTACCTTCCGCCATGTCATTCGCCAGTGTAAAAGAGGCAGGTAACGACGTCGTATGAATGAATCAACTTGTCATCCCTCACTCAACTTTAGTAAGTAGTAAGCGGGAAACAACCTTTCCACGTGGCTCACTTCCCCACAGCGCGAAAGCATCAACAAATTAAAGACTCCGGAGTCCCCCCCCCCATCACTTTTCTTCTTACTTTCTCAGTTCCCAAACACTCTTTTTCCCACTGCATCAAACGCCCGAGAAAATTTTATACGCGCCCAAATGGAATCCCAACCCCAATCCCAAAATCCCAACCATCACCAGAAATCCAATCCCAACATGAAGAAGTCTTGGTCTTTGAAATCCGACGACTCGGCCCAGGCCGATTCTCCCCTCCGATTCCACTCCCCGATCCGATCCGACGCCTCCGACCCGCCCGACACTCCGCCGTACGAGTCCGTCGAGAATACGCCGGAAAATCCGGTCGACAACTCCAAGGCGATCACGGTCGTCGACAAGTTCACCAAGTACTCGCCGCTCCGGCCTCAGAAGCCGCCGGAGAACGCCAAGGCGCCGTCGCCGGTGGTGGTGTACAACCGGGCGGTGAGGGAGGAAGTGGCGCCGTCCGTGTCGAAGGTTGGGCCGACCGGCGTAGTCAACGGTGTTGGAGGCGGGGAGGAGGGCGGAGTCACCGGTGTTGGCGGTGGGAGATCCAGGGGGCTGACGAATTCGATTCTAAGACGGTCGAAGAGGGGGGAGATGGTGAAGACGGCGGCGCTGGGGTTTAGAGTGAGCGAGTTGGTGCTGTGCCTGGTTTCGTTCTCGGTTATGGCGGCGGATAAGACTCAGGGCTGGAGCGGCGACTCCTTCGATCGCTACAAGGAATACAGGTTCCTCCTCCGCCTGACTTTCAATTTAATCTCCCTTTTTCAGAAAATTATTAATGATTAGCTGATTAAGTCAAATTAGTGTTTTAATTTTAATTCAAACTGTAAAAGATTTTTTTTAGTCAAAATGGTCCTCAGGTTGTTATAATCGATAGAAGTAATCATTGAAATTGTTTCGTGTCACTCACTTTTGTCTTTATGTTAAATTGAAAAAACAAAAAATACTCTTAATTTAACGATTTTTTTTTTCACCCAAAATGATTTAAACGAACTATTTTGGCTAAAAAGCCTAGTTAAAATTTAAATTTCAACCAATTTTCATGCTTTGCTCTGTTATTATTTTGATGATTTGTTGAAACAGTTTTCACTGTGAATTTGGTTCTTGAATTTTTGTTTACTTTTGGAGATAATGTTATGATGAATTGAGGATTATGTGCTAAACTTTGCAGGTATTGCTTATCTGTGAATGCAATTGGATTTGCATATGCTGCCTTTCAAGCCTACAATCTATCCTACCATATGGTCACCGGGAAGTACGTGATCCGCCACCATTTTCGTCGCCACTTTGATTTCTTCATGGATCAGGCAAGTTACTCAGTCAGCCCGTCTGTCTTCATCGCTGTTTAACATTTCTATTGCTAAATGTATTATCTTATATGTCAGTGGAGTAGGGTAACTTTTGTTTAGGGAAAATAGTTGCTTGTATAGTTCTTGTTCGGAAGGTAACGAGCATCGATTAGTGACTCGAAAACTTAGCTAAGTTTGTTGCGACCCAACGCCTTTTTATTTGTTTCCGAAACAGGCCTCTGCGTTATTATTATGCTTCTGGCCGAAGCGATGCCATTTTAAGATTTAGGGTGTACTGCCTCAGCTCGAGGGAAGCTAAAGATTTGTGTACTGATAAGCAATGCGTTGTGCTTTTGTGGTGTTGGTTGAACTTGCAGGTACTGGCATACCTTCTCATTTCGGCATCCTCGTCTGCAGCCACCCGGGTTGACGACTGGCAATCAAATTGGGGGAAGGATGAGTTCACGGAGATGGCTACTGCTTCGGTCAGCATGGCCTTCCTGGCTTTTGTCGCCTTTGCGCTTAGCTCCCTCGTATCTGGTTACAACCTCTGTACCTATGATTCTGCATGATATATATCCTACCTACACGGTAGGCAGTCGGCACTAATGCCAAGCCTACACGTCCTCCTCAACAGCCGCCTTGCTCTCACTAGGCCCTGAGGAGGTGCAAATCGAAGTGTGAGTGGATCATAATCATTTATAACCGACGGCCCGTAGACTCAATTTTTCGTTTTTTCAATGTTGTTTGTAAAGCTTCAAACAACGTGTTCCCAACATGGCAATTTGTGTGTATAATTATAGACTTAATAAAAATAAAGGAAAACTAATGAAAAGATCTTGAAAACTTTGGAGTTTTAACGATAAGGATAAAATAAAGGGTAAAGTGAATCGTATTAGGATTGATTTTTTAGTGTAAAAATATGATTTTTCGTTAAAGTGAACAGTACCGGGAACTTTTCGTAAAAATAATGGTGAAATCTTGAGTTGTTAATATGGAAGCATTTCTTTCCATTTTGTGCCTTGGGGAGTTTGCAAATTCTAAGATTGAATTCAACCTCTCTTTTTGTTGGGTAGACATAGGCACAATGTTGTGCAAGAACAATATCTCAAGCCAATAACGCACAACTATCCGTATTAACTTGTCCACAAAATAATGCTTGATTCGGTCATATGAGAATTTCTCGTTGTATGGAACTTCTTCTTGGTGAGTTTCACTAAAGGAAAACATTCCTTCCATAGCTACAATTTCCTTATATGCATATACATCAAAATTTCATATTAATTATCATGCTTTATTACGTGAAAAAGTTAAAATCATACAAAATTACAAAATATACTAAAGCAACTCATTAAAAACATAAGGAAATCTTTTTGCACATGTCAAATTTTAACTTAGACAAGAAAGGATAACTCTTTCCCTCATGGAAGAGTCCAAGCTCAACTACTATCACCTGCGGGTTAAAACGCATGGAATACGCATAACCGGGGCCAATAAAGCAACCGTTCAGATTTGCAATGGGCTAAGCCTTACAATGGGCTAACAATAATGTAGTTCAAATTCGTTTTTGGCGAGAATCGAACATAAAACCTTACTTATAAATGAAGATGAACCATTAGACCATAATACTACGTGACACAAGTATTTTATGTTGGGTTTTTATCACAAATAGTCCATAAAATTGACCCACACCATTAAGATGGTCCCTGAAATTGACTCACACCATCAAGATGGTTCCTAAAATTGACCCACACCATCAATATGGTCCCTAAAATTGAAAATTAATCAATGTAGTCCTTAAAAATAAGTGTCGCAAATTAATATGATCTTTCTGACATTATTTTGTAAAAAAAAATTTGTTATGTGCTCATGTGGATATAAAAATTAATTTAAAAAGTTGTCTAAATACCTTTTTGCACAATGGAAATTTTTTTTTTCTTATAGTAGGGCCTACTCCGAAGAGATATCCCTTCTATAAATTCTTAAAGACACAAGGCTTAACTAAGGCCTAAGAGGAGGTGTGGAAATATTTTTCAACTAACAATAGATGCACCTCGGTTATAACCTCATTATCTCAAGACAGACATCGTCGTTCTTTGCATCACCAGACCACCAGGGAAGCGCCAAATAAGCTCTCTAAGATTAAGGTTATTGATCACCTAAATGTTAACGGTGATGTCCTAGAAGTCGTTGCCAATGGCCAAGCCGTCACCAATGGTGATCTCGATCCAAGTTCAATCCGGTGAAGAGTGTCGAAGTGTGTAAAGATGGGTGTATTGATTTTTTTTTAGAGAATAGAGAGCGAACGAGGTAGAGAAATGTGGACTGGAATCAGAGGTGATTGCATGCCTGAGTTTTTGGGTTGACATTTTTTATATTAACTATTAAATTATTAAGCCTGTTTGTATTTTTTTTAAAATTTAATTAGACTTGTGTGACCCATTTATGTATCACGTCAACACATAATAGAATTTTTTACAAAATTGTGACGGAATGACTACATTGATTTGAGATACTTACTTGTGGGACTACATTGATCAATTTTCAATTTCAGATACCATTTTGATGTTGTGGGTCAATTTTAGGGACCATTTTGATGTCGTGGGTCAATTTCAAAAACCATTTGTGAGAAGAAAAAAAAAAGAACTTATGAATGTCCATTTGTGTGTCACATCAGCACTTAACAGAATTGTAACAAAATGACCACATTGATTTGCAACACATATTTTCAGGGACTACATTGATTGATTTTCAATTTCATGGACCATCTTAATGGTGAGAGTAAATTTCAGAGATCATTTGTGATAAAAACCATTTTATGTTTAACTTCTAAAATAATAGAGTCCACATTCTCTTCTTGCAAGCGCCGGGCAGACATAGGTACAGTGGGCCTGAAATAAGCAAAAGATTTAGCACCAAGTAATTGTGCTTTAAAAAACTTGAGAAATCAAAACTGAGCCCATTAACGGCCCATTATCTGATTAAGATATGAGAATTATAAATTGGGTAAGAAAAATCCAAACTTTTTTCTCTTTTATTTTGATTTCATTGTCCAAAATATATATTCTTTTTTAATTTTAAATTTGTTGGTACACCACGTATTACTATACAAATGGTGGGATTTGTGTGTTAAAAAGTTAGTAACTTAAAAAATAAAATTTTCTGCCACTTACATAAGAACACGTGGTGTACCATCCGTATTCCCGTCACAATGAAATTTTTTTCGTAAGCTATGTCATTGTCATCTGCCGTCTGTGCCTTGATTGATGCTCCGGTGGAATTGATAAATAATAATATTATGATGACATAATTTATAAAGTTGTAACGCAAACTTGAAGCATGTTAGGTTTTGTTATCAACAATGGTGAAGTCTCGGCATCAAACTATTTACAAGAAAACATAACAACACTTGTAGTAGGCGTCGATTTAGACACATCATGTCTTATATCCAAACAACCATCATAAACGTTTCATGCAATTGTTCCTTACCTTGCTAGGGTTGCTCTCTCCTCTCTTGTTAAGTACTATGACCCAAAAACCCTAATCATGTTATGCATTGGAGGAGTCTGAAACTTACCACTATGTGTACGAGTCATGATTATGGAGAAAACCCTAATCATGTTATGCAATGGCAGAATCAGAAACTCGCCACTAAGTATACGTATAGGGTCATAATTATATTTATATATGGAGGAGATAAATATTAATTAGTAATTTTTTTCTTAACATTAGTTTGTCAAGATTGTGTGGTCAAATTAGCAAACTAGTGGAAAAAAAAAATAAACAAGGTGTTAGGGTTAGGTGACTTCCTCACCTTCATTGTGTGGCCAAATTAACTCTATGCTTTAATAGTACAAATAATGAAAGGGATATGTTATTCTTTTCTATAATTCTACGAATAATATTCGTAGCTCATACCAGATTAATTTTTTATGAAGCAGTGGGATTATTGGATGAACCGTTAATCATTATATATTGCTAATTTAGTTGATAATCTGATAACATAATATACCAATTAATCGCTTGTAAGAGTGTCATTAACTAGTAAGCTTGATCATACATGGAATATCAAGCGAGCAGAAGTTCACGTGGTATCCTCCATCAGCCATGTTCATGCAATGTACAAAATAGAGCTAGATAACAAACATTCCCTATCAGTCCCGTCTTTTTCTAATGGAAAATAGTGAAAAGACTAAATTTTTAGACCATGCAACATAGTAGACGATTGGACTTATTTTTTAATAATTTAAAGAAGAAATCCAACTATCAATCACTGCTTTCAAACTAAGCAGCCAACCATCCTCTATTTATAGTCTTCCTCCCTTCACATTCGCTTGTCCTCTATCGTAATAGTGTAATACACCCATCACTACCGTCCATGCACGCACAAACAAATCTCAACCGTCCGATACATAAAAATCCACTAACAAATCCAAATCCCATGCAAACCCTAGCTATATAATATCGTCGTATATTATATTATCATTGCCGAAACAATTATGTCCATGGTCCATATACAAGACTCACTCGAAAAAGCAACATGCCTATCCTTTACTTTACACCTCCTAAACTTTGTCATTTACGATAATTAGTATTCTAATTAATCATGGTTAAAGTAATGTAATATCATTAGCCAACAACCATAACTTGTACGGGCAAGGGACATATTCTGTACCATAAGTTTTGGCTAGATGTTCGAATCTTGATGAGCTGGTACTACACAACATGGACACGTGGTATTTTCATCAATGTTTCCAAGGTACACTTGCATGTGCTGCACCACCCTAATTTTGTGCTTCTTCGTTTTGGTAATTGCAGCCTCCCCATGATGTTAACAATAATAATAGGTAATCATTTTCACGTTCTTGTCTTCTCTTTTGTACTCATTTTGTTTTCGTTTATAGATTCTCTTTTCGCTTATTCAATTAAGGATTTATAAAAAGAAAAGATTGAAAACGGAGAAACTAGGATAATAATGATTTTCACACTTTAAATTTATCATTTTGCATTTCTTTTCTCTCGTTTTTTTGTGTTTTTGTTTATTGATACTTCTTTAACTTATTTAAATCAACAACAAAGCAAGAAAAGAGACATGCAAAGAAGGGATAGGTAGTGATTTTCACACTCTTAAATGTATCGATCATTTAGCATTTTTCTTTTATTTTTCGTCGCTTAATTTTTCTTTGTATTTAATCCCAAAATTATAAATAAGACAAGTATTGTAGAAAGACGAAATGAAACAAAAGATCATTCCGCAATAAAACGCGAGTAGTGGGAAAGTTACTACTCTGATAATAATAATGCAAGCTTTTGGCCTTTTATAAGATTAAAAATCCCCCAAAGATTCTTTGCAGGAAATAAATTAAAGAAAAGGTTATCTGTTCATTTGTGATGCTAATATACTATTAATATATAGTAATCAGTTGGGAATATTGACCCATTGACAATGAGTTGACACCTAAAATACTCAAATTGCAGTTGAAAATAATATACAGATTGAAAATGCTTGGTTTTGTCATTCCTTGCCCGCTAAAACTAAATCACAAGATTCCAACTCCTGATTAAGAAATTAACCAAGCTAATTAACAATATCTTAAGAGATACTGATGAACGTTAATCATCTGGTACAGCATGCCAACCTACCAAATAATGCAAAATCGATCTTCAATGGTGGGCAGATCTTTTTTTATTTATTTATTTTTTTTTTTTTTTTTGAGAAAATGGTTGGAAGATCTTGATGATAAGGTTCAAGCCACAAAATAACACCTAATGCAGCATCTAACCTGCCTTGCTAGATCAATTTGTACACGCCATTTGACCAAATCTATAAATTGTCTATTGAAGTTGAAGTGACACACCCCGACCTGGAAAGATCGAAGCATGTTGGCCATCACCGTGAGGTGACGTAACCATAAGGGTAAGTGATGCAAAAAGTGAATAAGATTAAAACTAATTAGAACTAAACAGTGAAAGAGTGCGCAATCGTGGGTTGAACCCACTACGATTATTCAAAGCGTAATAGATAGTGAGACTACAGAAGAGTAGTCAAAACAACCAAAGTACACTTATTTCATAATAGTGATAAGTTCGTACGTCTAAAACAGAAGGAAATGTCAGAACTGCCGGGATTCCTCGAGTGCCACAAAGAGTACAGCTATCTAGGTCCTGGAGGGGCCAAAAACAAAGTTGAGTGGGTCAGCAAAACAATGCTTATAAGAAAACCTTTAACTTTGAAAATACTAACCCCTCGCCGTAAAACAAGTATAGTTTCCTTAAAACATACTACTCAGGTATATAAACAACAATTCAATAATATTATAGCAGTAATATAACCAAGAATATGCCAAGTAATGATGTCTCAAATGCCACAGTAATAATCATGTGATAATCAAGTATAACTAAGTGCTCATTCATCTAAGCTGACACACAAGTTCAAACAGATAGTTTTTGACACGAACAGGACTAGGTGTAATCAATATGCTCTAATACTACGATCACGTGAAGGCTAGTGCAGAAGCACGGTCACATACAAGTCGGATTGCCTAATGCAATCTACCCGACATGACTGGCACCTAACTTGGATCCAAGGTGAGCGAACGGTGCAATGTGAACATACACGTGAAGGACTGGCCCTAGTCCTGGGGCGAGTACTAACACCAAGGTGCAACAAGATGAGCATGTACACAAGTATGTATGAATGTCATGACAGTAATATCTCAGCCATATAGCAACATTTATCACAATATATATCACAATAACAATACATGGCAATATAAGCGTAAAAGTGAAGTAAATACGCATTTATGGAAACTATAAATATGTATGGGTATAAAACAATTGCCCACTCACAAGTACGTTGCTGGGTCATAGCCCTCGAGCCTAGCTTGGCCTCGTAAATCCTCGGGATAAGTTTCCCCTATATGTGAAATAACTAAAATAACATTAATTAAAGCACATAACAGAAACCTAAATAAAACCCTCATAGTTTGCTCAAACCTAGGGTTTAAATATATGAAATCGATCTACTGGACGACACGAACATGCACGTGTCGACCACACGCCGGCTGGAGGCCGGACGCACCGTCACGTGTTGCCCAAAGGGGCTGCACAGATTTGTCACGCGTACCCAAGCGCCTGCGAGAATAAGTGTACTTGCCTTCCTCGCGATTTTCTGCAGTTTTGTAGATTTTTAAGTCAACTTCCAGGGCTCCTAACGAGCTCGATTCTCGACCAAAAACACTTCTACAAAAGCAAAATTAAAGCTAGGAATGTGATGTATTGATCCCAATTCACAGAAAGTTCGAATATGGTCCGTGTTATTCAGAATTTTGGCCTAAAAGTGGCCAAATGACCACGGTTGTAAATTTCCAGAAAACTGAAATTTTCTTCCCAACTTCTAGAGTTGATTTCTAACTCGATACTTAACCAAACTCAGTGATTCAAAAGCCATTTTGAATTTAGGAATGTAGAGAACAAGTTTGTACCTAGTAGGAGTCCAGTTGTGGTCGAGGTTGACCGGAAAAAAATGGGTTGAAAGTGACCAAATGGTCACGGTCCTTGACTGAAAAATGTGCAGGTTCTTATTCTTCTTGAGTTTTCTGGGTAAAACCATACGTTCAAAACACAAACAAGAGATCAATACCAACTCATAGAATTGAAATGAAGGTTATAAGGGTTTCTCGAGGCTTACCTAAGCCATGAATGGCCTGAAAATCGTTATATCGAACTCGCCAAGTCGAACCTTCTGAGTTGGTGAGTCAAAACTCGTCTACACCGGATTTCAAGGACATGGTTGTGATCGTGAGACTGAGATGAACACAATGTTGTAGTTGGTTTGTCACATTTGTGAATTTTTGTGTGTTTTTGTGAAGGTTGTAGAGAGGAAAATGGAGCTCGACGAGGGAGAGAGAGGAGAGAGTTCATCTTTCCTTTCTTTTTTCCTTTTTCTGATTGGTGACAAAAATGAGGTAAAGCATGGGATGTGATTGGCTGCTAGAGTGTAAGGATAGATGAGATTGGTTAAGTAAATAATGGAGGGGATGCACATGTAGGATAAAAAGGGAATTCAAAGGATATGATTTCAGATTTCCTACAGTAAAAGGAAATCAAAATCTATCCGAAGTAGATATTTTTATACTTTAAAATCTACGCTGACTTGTACTAGTGTGTACAATTTAAATGCGATAGCGAGAAATAAAAAGGAAAGTGATAAGAATAAGTCCACGTCACTTGCCAATAAGGGCATAATCGTCAAATTACATACTCGGGGAGAAATTACATATGAAAATTAGGGACGGATCGTCACATGAAGTGTAACAACATCACAAATATCAAATTGTGTGGAGGGCATAAAAGATTGATTAACCAATGAATTGCCTCAAATACGTTTGTGTATAACGTTAAAATTAGTCGATCACGTTCAAGTGGGAGATCCAACCAAGCTTAAGTGATAGCTTTTGGTCGTCATTATTATATGTCTACATGCATCAACGACTAAGATTCAACCACTAACTTATAGACAGTTGTTTCAAACTCAACTCTAAAGCTTTAATTGATAAGGTATTGCTGCGATATGAACTGACATACATCAACGACTGATATTTAACTACTAAGATATAACAACGATTGATCCAAACACAATTCTAAAGTTTTTACTGATAAGCCGACACATACATCAACGACTGAGATTCGACCGCTTGCGCGTGAACAACCAACTCGATGCACATCACAATGAAGCATTAATGATGTTTTAGACCTGTTTAGATTGGTAATGGATCCAGCAGGTAAATCAGGACCCAGCCAAGTTGTAGTAGTAAGGAAGGCGGAGTCCCTCAACATTTAAATGGTTTGCATGCTTTGTAAACCTTGTACCTTTTGGGTGCATTTTGAGCTGTACCTCTTGTCTGTGCCAACCTAGACAGACTTAGTTGGCAAAGTCACACTCAGAGTGAAACATACGCGCTCCAAGAGCGGATCGGTTTTCTTTCTTGTTTTTTTTTCTTCTCATTTTTACTGTTTATTTAAAACAAAAAATGTATTAAATAAAACAAAATCTCCATCGATAATGAGAGATTTTTTACTTGTGGACCTGAAACGGTATTTCACATGTTATAATATTTTCGAAGAAAATCATATATTTTTTCATATCTCTCTACTTATTTTATAATACATTGAGCACTAGCTTAGATACGATTAATGTTCTAAAAGATGTTAGACGCTAGTTTGATGGGCTCATGCCTAGTGCTTAGGTGGCTTGATCCTAGCGCCTAGGCGGCTAGGTGGGGATTAGGCAGACTAAGCGGATTTAAATAAACTTCTTATATATCATATAAATAAATGCATGTTTATACTTAAAAAAGAGAAAATGAAGACAAATATGATAGAAGACAATAGAAGTTGGAGGAGTGTTTTTATTTAGTTTGTCTTAATTGTTTATGGGGGTCAAATACAATATACTAACATATATACTTACCATGTTAAGATAGTTGAAGAAGAAGATAGAAGAAAGAAACCAGAGGGAGAGAGTACAATCTGTATTTTGTTTATTCCTATATCTGAATCAATGAGCACTCTACTCTACAACTTCAGTTTTATCCCCATACAACAATCTCACCAATCTAATTATTATAACTAACTAACTAATCTAGGATTGTGACAAGTGTCAACAACCCAGTCCATCACATTCTTCATATATTCCTAACATTCCCCCTCAAACTCAAGATTGGGGCATCCAATCATGAGGTTGAAGCAGTCAAGTTCTCAAAGAATCATTAGTGCAGTATTCCTTGCAATTGGAGGTGAGGTTGCTGCTGCACAAAGTCTCTGCAATAAGAAAACCCTCCTAGCAACTTGAGCTTGTATATTATTGCTATATCATGTCTACCATAGTAGCCAAATCAACACTAATGATTCCTTTTGCCAAATCAACACTAATGTTTCCTTTTGCCAAATCAACACTAATGTTTCCTTTTGCCAAATCAACGTAGACCTGGTGCCCCCACCCTTGTCACAAATTCTCATATGATAGCCTAACTGAATATCGAATATAGGTCCACCATTGCATAACTGGAATACATAAAATCTTCTGAACTCATGTGCAAGTGCAACAATTTGAGCAGGAACAACGTGCACCTCGTCCATGAGAAGCAATCCCCATTCTCTATTTCTTATTTCTTCAATAATCGTTTCAGATTCTTCTGACCTCTTTCCACCAAAGGCTACCATGTTATATGTTGTTACAACCACCCCAGCGTTTCCACGGAACCTTTCTTTACTATCAGATGTGAAACGACAAATTTGATCATCGCGGATGGTTGACCACAACTTGAACTGAAAAGCCCACTGAGGTCAAAGGCAACCAATAACCCTATGTTGACTCCGTCACTGGCTAGGCAGGCGCCTGTACGATCTAGGTGGGTTTCTAAGCATGTTTAGACATACTTTCTTAATTTTTAAACGTTTAAAAATTAATTGAGATGGTAGCTAGCCGTCTAGCGTTTAAATGGAACCTAAACAATGCTAACCAGAAATTAACCGTGGATACGACACTTGGGAAAAATTATCATCAATAATGGTTTGAGGGAAAATAAGAATAATGGCTTGAAGGAAAATTAACAAATAAAATTAAAAAATAAAAGGGAATCAGAGAGGAGAGAGAGGGGGAGGAGAGAGAGACCGTATACGGAAGAGGACCATACGGCTTCTCCGACACACCCACGGATCCATCTGTGTGAGCGTGGGGCCCACTTGCTTTTCAGCCATAACATTTAGTCCTCTGCCTACTTCGGTTTCAGTTACAAGTTTGTAACGTACGCCCTACTTGGTGAAATGACATATACCCTCCTGTGAAATTTGGAGGGACTAAAATAGCCTTGGTGTTGGCGCTTTTACTGTTTTAAACATGGTTGTTAAAAGATAAAGCTCACTTTATTTTAAATTTTGAATGACATAGTTTTTACTATAAAGTAGTAAGACCATCTCCAATCGAATGAGGGTTAGAGGGTTCCTTTTAGCCTTCTGGTCCTTCAAGAAATTAATATTTTAATGAACAGTATGTAGTCATATTTCTTATCGTCTCCAACCGAAGGCCAGGCCAAGCATAGCTCTGTTACAAAAAACCATCTCCAACCGAGGGCTAAAAGGCCATAGGGCTCACGAGCCATTTGGCCTGACCCTCGATTGGAGACGGTTTTCGGGCTATTTTCGGCCCTTTGAACCATTCAGTTGGAGATGATCTAACTAATTCTTGACTAAATCTTTGAATAAGAAAGTCAACAATGTTTTTTATTCTCATTTTATTAGACTTTAATATTGAAAAAAGTTCTAAATTTGTGAGTAATTCTATTGCTGTATAACTAACGCTTTTAAATTCAATCAAATTGAATTCCAGTACTAATCTTTATGGTCAATAAACAATTTGAAGTTGATTGAAGGACAAACTTTAAGAGTAAAATGCTTAGCATGTGTGTTGCCCACAAATCAAATTATTTGTCAAAGAAAAACTACTAACCTCTTCTTTTCAATCTTTGCATCTTTAGTAGATGATGACTACAATAGAGGTCGGATATAAAGTAATTTTTTTTATTTTTCAACTCATTAGTAATGTTTTTCTTCGTAACATCGAGGTTGTTTGAAAAAGAAAAAAAACTAACATATCTTTTTTATCACAAATGATTAGGTCGACTAATTAACACTCTTGGTGCCTAGTATTGCTGTAAGCAAAGGGGCATGTGGTGGCATGTTGGCTTTGGGATACAAAGGGTAAAAGGGGAAAATCAGATACAAGGATTCTTGTCTCCTCAGAAGTGGATCTTCGCACGTTAATGAAATGGAGTTTGTAGTGAGGAGGAGCTGTGAATTTTATGGAGAGAGATGACGACAGAATTACAGCCAGCCACCTCCCCTCCCCATTGCATATGCTTTCACTGCACCACCAACTACAACGTCCCAATTCATCTCTCAACCGATCTCTCTCTCTCTCTCTCTCTCTCTCTCTCTCTCTCTCTCCTGTTTTTGTTTTCTAGCTTCACACTATTACAAGCTCTCAACTTTTTTCCCCTACTTTCTCTTTTAACTACTGCATCCTTGACCACCTGAGCGCTTTCCCTCAACTTCTCAAAACCCATGTGTGCTTTTGGACTTGGAAGCTCAAAAACCATATTTTGGGAGCTTCTTTTGCTCTTTTAAATGGTGGGTTTTTGTCTAAATATGTAGAGATTCAAGATTTCTGACCAAACTCTCCACCTTTTGCCCAGAAACATGCTTCTTGGCCTGAAACTTATCAACTTTTTTCCCAGCTTCTGCTTAATCTGAACCCACCTGTCGTTAAATGCACAAAGATTGATTAGATGATTTCGACATGTAGGTGTTTGAAAAACAACACTTTAATCTTTCTGGGTCGTCTCCAAATCCAAGTTTCTCTGCAAGTTTGGAGGCTTTCTGCTAGTTGAGGAGTGCAAATACCAAAAGGGGTTCTGAGATTTTTCTGATTCTTTTGATGAGTTTTGGTGCCGACCCATGAAGAATTTCCACTGGTTTAAGCAGATTTCCAGCAATGGCAAGCCTGAGAGGAGTCTCTCGCTGGGTGAGTACAATCGTGCAGTCTCATGGTCCAAGTACTTGGTGTCGTCAGGGGCCGAGATTAAAGGGGAAGGAGAGGAGGAGTGGAGTGCGGACATGTCACAGTTGTACATTGGGTGTAAATTTGCTTCCGGAAGGCATAGCAGGATTTACAGAGGGGTTTATAAGGAGAGGGATGTGGCGATTAAGCTGATAAGCCAGCCTGAGGAGGATGAAGGGTTGGCTGTTTTGCTTGAGAAGCAGTTCACTTCTGAGGTTGCTTTGCTTTTTCGATTGCACCATCCTAATATCATCACTGTAAATCTCTCTCTCTCTCTCCTCTTCGTTAGGTTTATGGTGGTGTTGTTTGCCTTTTCAGATCTTTTGGAAATGCAGTTTTTGTTTTTCTTCTTTTTCAAGTTTTCTTCCTGCTAACTTTTGTGATCTTTTGGTCTGTATAAAAACGCAAGATCCCTTTTAACCTTGTGCATTTTAAGACTTTACTCCAAGAAATCACTCGGAAAAAAGGAACCGCATTAATTCGGCATAAAATGTTAGAAGAAATCTGTTCCAGTTACACCAATTGGTCATTGATTTATCAGTCCTTACCTTAGAATTCTCCATCTTTTCAATTCTGTATCCGACCTTAATCTTTGTTGGTATTGCGTATACGCCGAAAATTGGAATCGGTTCTTCTAAGAATTTGTTGTTCTTCTAGTAACATTTAATGCTGGAACAATAGCTCGTTCTTTACGTTTTTTGACCTTCATGTACCAATTTTTGTTGTGCAGTTTGTTGCAGCTTGTAAGAAACCTCCTGTGTTCTGCATTATCACCGAGTATTTAGCTGGGGGATCGTTAAGGAAGTATCTTCATCAGCAGGAGCCACATTCTGTTCCGCTTAGCCTAGTTATAAAATTAGCCCTCAACATTGCACGCGGGATGCAATATCTCCATTCTCAAAGTATACTTCATAGGGATCTCAAGTCAGAAAATTTATTGCTAGGGGAAGATATGTCTGTAAAGGTTGCGGATTTTGGTATTTCATGCCTAGAATCACAGTGCGGCAGCGCTAAGGGATTCACAGGTACTTACCGCTGGATGGCACCCGAAATGATCAAAGAGAAACACCATACAAAGAAAGTCGATGTTTACAGTTTTGGAATAGTTCTGTGGGAGCTTTTAACGGCATTGACACCATTTGACAACATGACTCCTGAACAGGCTGCGTTTGCAGTATCGCAGAAGGTATTTTTGTCATTGTACCCCGTAATATTACTTACCCTGGTCTTCGGTTAATGATTTGTATCAATAGATTCAATACCTATTGGTTATAATTGAGTGTTGATATGGTGATACCTATTATTGAAAGAGGGGATATTATTGTGGCAAGCATTAGTCTACGCGTTTAAATGAGGCCAAGATATCCATTCTTAGAAATCTCTTCAAGTGTCAGCTCTTCTACTTCACAACATTTGATAAACTTTCTTAAATTCCCATGCAGTAAAAGTAACATGTCATATCAGAAATTACAGTTTATCCGTTATCGTTTTAGTTTCTATTCTTCTTGATGCATCTGTTACACCTGTATGTTTCTCACATGCATCAGAAGTGGGGTGAGAGACAGTCATTTATATGCTTGTCATTGTATTATCCAGATCATGTGGGGACCTGCTGTATTTGGCCATCCTTATTTATGCAGGACAATCTCCTAAAATCGGAGAAATATATTAAATCCTACATCTTTTTCGTTGTTGATAAGATAATGTAAAACCTCAGCGATTTCCTAATCGCCTTCTACCAAGAAGAAGCATGCTGGCATCTAATGATCTGTTTCAGTTTTTCCGGTTGGCATCTTGCACCTGTTATGATTTTGTGGAATAAATGGGAACTCTGTCTGTTTTCCCACCTTGAATTCTCACTTGCCACCCATGTAAACCGCTTTTGTTGCTATGTTTTGAAACCTTTTAACATAAAGCTGACCTGTTATGGAGATATATGTGTCGATCTCCTTTTAGTTCTGAACTATGGATTTTCAACTTGTTCGTGTCATTGCACTATTCTGAACAACGCCTGGTATGTAATGGCATCATTATGCAAATCAGTTTACTTGGTTGTGCTTATGATTCCCGTAAACATGAAAGTCAAATGTTTTGAGTAAACAAACCCGTGTATGGGTAAAATGTGCTGGAAGTTGTTACAAAAGCCAGAATTTGGCGTGTTCACAGCTACAATTTTTCATTGAAGTTTGGTTGCAGGAACTGAAGATGAGATGAATCTAAGGTATCAAAAGCTGCATTTTGAAACGTTGTTGGGGTGATGTGATTTTTTGTATGAGCACAGTAGACTAAGAATCCTGCGGTGGCTAATACAATGATAAGAGTGTGTTAAGTTTCCTTTGTGGCAAAGTTTATTAAACGTGTTATGTGCTCCTGAATTTTGTGCAGAATGCAAGACCCCCTTTGCCGTCCACATGCCCGGTGCCATTCAGTCGCCTCATTAGCCGATGCTGGTCAAGCCATCCAGATAAGCGACCTCATTTCGATGAGATAGTGCACATTTTGGAAGGTTATGCCGAGTCCCTTGAGCAGGACCCAGATTTCTTCTCATCTTACAAGCCGCCCCCAGATCACGCCCTATTGCGATGCTTTCCAAAATGGAAGGGTCGCCGTGGTTCTGCTTCTTGAAAGATTTAGGGAATCGTTTTCTGGAATCAAAGTATTGAAGTTAAATGTACCATATGCTTTTCTTGTCAAGGTTCCCATCTTCATACAAATTATGATTGTGAACCTTTTTTCCTTTCTGTCTTGTTAACCTTTTGATCCTTTTGTCTTGAATATATTGGAATGAAAAGCACTACTTTTATTGGTGTTTTAACTTCATCTGCATACTTGATATAAGCACTTTCAATAGAAGCACTTTAAATTTGATGTGAAATGCTGAATCTTACATTTTCAATAGAAGCACTTTTCGAACTTCCTCTCCATCACTCCTAGTGCGCATTCCCACTCTCGGGATAGTATTGGCATGAGAGATTTGGATATGAAAACTTATTGTATGAGCTGATTATATGTCTTGAGTTGGAGACTTCATTACACTTCACCGTAGTATTTCAGATCAATAATACAATATCATGTGGAAAACATGAAAACACATGATATTCCGTATTGGGGTCTAGCTTAGTCTATGCATGCAAAAATGCTTCCAATTCTTCAATGTCTTCTCTCACTTTAATTTACAATTTCACTTGTAATTAGCTAATGTCTTTTTTTTTTTTTTTTTTTTTTAATTTTTTTTTTAAACAAACGATAGACCTCTCACTAAAAAGTGAAGAGGAATACCACTAGACTGTAATACTAAGTAGAAACTAATTCATTTACTTTGTTTTCTCTTAAAGAAAAGCGTAATAGATATGATAGTTCCATTCACGCATCTATTTTTATTTCTTATACACCCTCAATTTACAGTCGTCGGATTAAATTAATTAAAAAAAGTTCAATGTCAAAAAATTAATAAAGGTGGGAGGTAAAAATAAGTGTAGAATAACTGCTTGTGAAACACCAAAAAAATAAAAATAAAACTTAAGAACCAAAATATAGTATGGTAAAATAGTATTTATAAACTTCTGTGACCTTAAGAAACATGTGACGGTTTGGCCGAGTGGTCTAAGGCGCCAGATTTAGGCTCTGGTCCGAAAGGGCGTGGGTTCAAATCCCACAGCCGTCAGAATTTTTTGTTATTCAATTTTTTATTCTTTCTATTTTTTATACAAACATATTAGAGGAGGGAATAATGAATATCACAAAATCTTGGGTTCAAGTGTAAACGCTCTGTTAACAAATTGGATCCATTTTTTTGTTAGGTTAGACATTCTATTAGCTAACAATATTCATCTTTTTGCTATAAACTCACAATTTTCATGAAGAAGATCGAGTTGAAGGAAGTTAAAACAAATGCATACCAATAGCACCAGTCAGTTTGTTACTCAATACTCTAGCTTGTTCCGAAAATGGAGAACAATTACTCAATACTCTAGCTTGTGTTGAAAATAATAGTGGGTAATGAATGCCCACGTAGAAACTGAAAACATTGGGTAGATTTTCAATGCCCATAAAAATCAATCTTGACTTGGGAGATGAAGGAAGATCATATTGTCAAAGATGTGTGCTTGGAGTTGCTCTATAAATAGAGCACTCCGTAAGGCTTTCAAGATACAGATCAGAACAAAAGGATCAATAATATCATTCATTCCTCCATCTTTTATTTGTCATTCACTTGAGCTATAGTTTTAGTGTGATATTTTACATTTGCTTCACATCTATCTAAAAGGTTATCCCTCTAACTTTTACATATTTATAACACATTCTCAACACGAGTCTCTATATATAACCATGTTTAAGCCAAAAGAAATCATTCTCTCATTTCTCTCAGCCGAACGAAAAAAAAAATGTTTCCTCTAAGGTTTTTCCTGTTCATCTTCTTCCTCTGCCTCAACTGCGCGCACTACTACAAAAGGGCCTTATAGTGTCAGTAGGTGACGTCGGTTTAATATAATATAGTGGCGCATAAGACATTTGCGACACTAATTCAACATGACGTCGGATTTAATGTCGTTTTTAAGCGTCATAAAATTCCTACGTCAGTTTAAGCACATATATTTTAATAATTTTTAAATACAGGCGTCGCTTTAAAAAAAACAGTGTCGCTTTTAAGCGACATAAAGTATGGGTTCTTTTGGCTTATGCGAAAAGGAAGGCAAGGGGCTAGGCAAGGGAGGAGCCAAGAGGCACAGAAAGGTGCTGAGGGACAACATCCAGGGCATCACAAAGCTCGCCATCCGCCGTCTGGCTCGCCGTGGCGGCGTCAAGCGGATCAATCTTCTTGGAGAATGTGATCCGTGATGCGGTGACTTACACCGAGCATGCCAGGAGGAAGACAGTGACGGCGATGGACGTCGTCTATGCACTCAAGAGGCATGGCAGGACTCTGTACGAGTTCGGGGGTTAGTTTGTTAGGGTTTCAGATTGAGGATTTATGTAAATTGGTTGGTTGGTGTGGTGGTGGTTGGGTAGATTTAGGTGACGAAGTGCAGGAAGTTGTATTTGGATTTTTTGTTTTTGATTACTTTGATATTTTTACATTAGGAGGATTTTTACTTTGATATTTGGATTTTTCTGTTTTGTTTCTATCGAAGTTGTATTTGAATATTTTATTTATTTAATTGTTATCTGAACCGACACACGGTTCTATATTATATAATTTATTTTATTAGCTTACGTCGCTATAAACCGACACTAGTTTCTATATTATATAGTTTATTTTATTAGTTTACGTCGCTTTAAACCGACATTAGAGTCAGTGTCGCTTTAAACCGCTGTGTAGTGTCAGATTAAGTGCACAAAGCGACACTGATAGCCTTTAGTGACGCTATGCATCCGACATTACATTGTTTAATGTCGGATTTGTGCCAAATTTCCGACAGAAATTGGGTTTCTTGTCGGATTTAGCTCTGCCGGTGATAGCTTGTATTGTAGTAGTGGCGGTATACTCTCGCGACGAACTGTTTGCTCCATGCTTGCTTCTAGTTCTCCAACTAGCGGTTACATACATCTTTGATTTCTTATTTGGTTTAGATATTGATTACTAACCCAGTATTTATTTATGTTGATTTTACTGCAATCCAAGATGGTGCGGTACAATCGCCCATTTTGAACTACAAATTTCATCTTACTGCGATTCAAGATGGTGCGGTATCATCGCCTATCTTGAATTACAGATTTAATTTTATTGCAAATTTTAGGTGGAGCGGTATAATCGCCTGCCCTACCCTGCATATTTAATTTGCCTGCAGTTTAATTTCATTGCAATTTTTAGGTGGTGTGGTATAATCGCCCACACTGCTATGCATATTTAAATTTTTCCTGCTAGTTGAGTGGTGCAGAATAATCGCCCATTCTATGTTACATCATTTCAATGAGAATGGTGCGGTACAATTGCCCTTCTCATTCACACTGAAAATCTCGAGCCAGAAGTTTCGAGTGCTTATCATTTTGGCCTGAAGATTATAATGAAAAATTTGTAAGAACTAGAAGTTCTAACACTATATTCCTCTAGGAATACATATTGTTGCAAGTTCTTACACATCTCATTTTTCTTTCAGAAAAGAAAATGGCGAACTTGGCAAAGCTTGAATATGCTGCCCTGGACATTACCGGGAAGAATTACCTTACCTCGGTACTGGATACCAAGATCCATCTGGAAGCAGGGAATCTTGGAGATACCATCAGGGAAGAGAACAACTCATCCTCTCAAGAGCGGGCGAAGGCTCTGATTTTTATTCGTCGCCATCTTGATGAGGCACTAAAGAGTGAGTACTTAACGGTTGAAGATCCGTTAGCTCTCTGGCAGGCTTTGAGAAGCAGATACAATCACCAGACAACGATGATTCTTTCTAGAGCTCGCTATGAATGGTCTCATTTAAGGATCCAGGATTTCAAGTCAGTGGCTGAGTACAATTCTGTGTTGTTCAGAATTACCTCTCAGATGAAGCTCTGTGGGGATACCATTACTGAGGAAATGTTGCTGGAAAAGACTTACAACACATTTCATGCCTTTAACGTGCTCCTGCAGCAGCAGTATAGAGCGCGAGGCTACGCTGAATACAACCAGCTGATATCTGTGCTCCTGGTAGTTGAACAAAACAATGAGCTCCTGATGAAAAACCATAATTTCCGACCTACTGGATCTGCACCATTCTCAGAAGTGAATGCTGCTTCCCTCGAAGTGAACGCCACATCCGATGGTGGCGATAATCATAAACGAGGACGTGACCACAAACGAGGTCGATGGAATAGGAAAGGCAAGAACCATGGAGGTCAATTTCACAACCAGATTCCGAGGCATAATTCAGGCCCGAGCTTTAAAAATGTGAATCATCACAAAGGCAAAGCTCACATAAATAATGCTCCCAGGAACTCTGAATGAGCCTGTCATAGGTGTGGTTGCAATGGGCATTGGGCGCGAACTTGTTGTACCCCAAAACATCTGGTTGAGCTGTATCAAGCCTCCCTCAAGGAGAAGGATGTCGAAACCAACTTTCTCGATCAGGCTAAACTAATGGATATACTTGATCCAGTATTTGATTTATCAGGGCAATTGGACACAACCCACCTAGATGTTTCAGACTTCATTATGGAAAGGGGGAATGAAGTATACCGGTCTGACTAAATCGTTTATGTTTGATGTACTTTTATTATGCTGAACTTGTTGTGTAAAACTAGCATTTCAGATTCAATAAAAGTGGCATGTAAATTTTCTTGTTATAACTTGCTTTTAACTCTGATTCCCTTACTCAGAAAACATGGATAAAAACTATGGTCATTCTCAGAACATGAGAAATGGCGGAGATATCTGTCTTGCAGACTGCGCAACAACGCATACAATACTTCGAGATCGAAAGTATTTCTCAAGCTTGATGTTTACAAAAGTAAAGGTAACAACAATATCAGGCCAATCAGATGTGATTGAAGGCTCAGGAAAAGCACAGATTATGTTACCAAATGGAACAATATTATCCATATAGAATGCGTTGTATGCCACTCGATCTACTCGAAACTTGTTGAGTTTCAAAGACATACGTTTAAATGGATACCACATTGAAATGAAAAGTGCAGAAAATGTGGAGTATCTATGCATTACCTCCAATGATACCCAGAAGCGTATATTGGAGAAGTTGTGTAGTTTATCAAGTGGATTGTATTATACATACATAAAGACAGTTGAATCACATATTATCATGAACCAGAAGTTCATTGATTCTAAAGTTTACATGCTTTGGCATGACCGTCTGGGTCATCCAGGATCCGCCATGATGCGTATGATC